GGTGACTGACCACATGACAGCTGCCAGTGGACTCCAAGGACCAAGAGGGCCAGCCATGGCCACTGGTAGAGGGTGGGTGAGTGGCCATACTCACCTCTGAGTCTGGCCCACCCACAGCACCTCAGGCAGGATCTTAGTGGCCACTGCAGGGCTGGCCCCAGGCCCTGGGCAGAGGAGTACCCATTGTCCACCAGTCCACCACCAGGTGAGTCAGCCTGTGGGAATCCAGCCTGCAGTGTTACCTGGCCCTGGCCCTCCTTCCTTCTGGGGAGGCTGGCAGTCCCCAGACCCACCTCCTGCTGCTGCACTCAGAAAGTTCTCAGCACCCCCTTCCCTCCTCTGCCTCCTCCAGGGCGCTGCCACCCCCAGGCAGGGCAGGCCCAGCTGCTTTTATTCAGCCTGTGGAGAGTTGTGTAAGGGAGGCCACCTCAAGGTGTCAGGGGATTCGAGCACAGGTGGGAGGCAGACACGTGGCCAGACCCTGAGCCCCCACCATGCCCGCCCCAGCTGCTGGTACCTGGAGGAGCCCCTCCGTGGTGACAGGAGGCCCCGCGGTCAGTGCCTAGGGGGCGCGGATGGTACAACACTGCAGTTGTACCACTGAGGGCTCTTACCTGCCTGCAGGAGGCACTCCAGGTGGACCAACCCCAGGCCCAGGGAGAATGACCCCAGCCTACCAGGGCACACACGGAGTCCTTGGGCTCAGACTTCACCCCCAAGGTTGTGCTGGCACACCCCCAGGGCCAACTCTGAGCTGCCCCCGAGGACGGGAACACCCACAAGTGAGGAAGCTGAGCCCGGGTCCCACAGACGCCAGGTGCCCACAGTCTGCAGGGCAGCCCCGGCCTGGAAGCGGATGCCTCAGTACCCTGGGCCCAGCAGGGTTGCACTCAGCTGTCCTCAGGGCTGGGGCCAGCCATCCTTCTGGGGAGAGGGCAGGGATGCAGGGCCCTCTGCCTGTCCCTTCTCTAATCCTTTCAACACACAGCCATCACGGAGTGGCCCCACGGGCCCATGTCATTTCTGGAGCTGGGGACGCCCTGTCCTGCCCCAGCCTGGATCTCCTGCTCCTCCGGGGGCCTCACCAGGAAGAGGGTGGTGGTTGCCAGCCTTGCTGCCCCTGGACGCAGTCTCTGTGCCCTCCGTCCCGTGCTCTGGGGCGGCCTCCTCAGAAGGAGGGAAGTGGGTTTCCGCCTCCTGCCTGGATGTGCCTCAAGCCTCGCGGGGCATGACGCATCGCAGCCCTTCCGGGCCCTGGCCAGGGTCACTCCAACACAGGAAGACCAGGCTCCTGCTGCCTGCAAGCTGCCCTTGGCTGCCCAGGACCCTCTGGCTAGACCTAGGCTCCTGCGGCTCATCTTAACAACCTTTCTGACTCTTGGAGACACAGGTGACTCCAGTTCTAAAGACTTTCCTCTTCCGTGAGAGGCTTCCCCCAGGGTAGTGTGCCCCCTACCCCTCAGTAACCTGGCCCACCCCCTCTGAAGGAAGGTCGCTCAGGGACAGTGGGCCTAAGACACCCCAGGCCTGTGTGAGTCTGGGGGTTTGATGCTGGCCCAGGGGGGAAGTCTTCACACCAGTGACATCAGTTGGTATCATCTCTGAGCCTTGAGCACAAAGGGGAAACTCAGCTCCACTTTGTACTTGAGGAAATGGGCACAGAGAGGTTGAGTAACTTGGGCATCGAACAGCAGGTAAGTGACAAAGCTGTGATTCGCACCCACACCCAGATGAGTCCAGGTTCAGCTCTGCCCCAAGCCTGACTTCCCTCTCCCAGGTGTCCCCACTGGCCATCTTCCTCCTTCCAAAGCCACGAGGCCGGTGACCTCACACCTCCTCAGAGCCAAGGCCCCACCAGAAGGGCCTAGTGGGGTAGGGCTCCCTTCCTCATCCCAGCCCAGGTCCTCAGCACTGATCTGAGGTGGGGTGTCAGGAATCCAGAGCCTGCCTGGGAAGGTGACCCCTAAAACCTGAGACCAGACTGGGGGCCTGGTCATTTGGGATGGCAAAGTCTCTGGGTCATCCTAGGGCCATGTTGGGTCCCCCAGTGGGGCCAGTGAGGCTAGGGGCTGTCCTGCCTTCAGCACACCATCTGGCCTCACACAACCACACTTGGGCTGAGGGTTTCAGCCTCAGAGATGGTGCAGTTTTGACTCTGGTATGTGTTCTGAGCATGTGTTGTGCTGTCTTTGTGGGTGCCCTGTGGTCTGCTGGCACGTCACAGGTGCTGTCTCCTCACCAGGGCCCAGCTTGTCACCACCATCAGCGCCTGTCTCAGGGCTAGGTGCTGGTCCTGAGGGGCACCTGTGTCCTGGGAATGGAGGCCCCTGCCCAGCAACCCTTAGCCACCAACGCCAGTGGTCAGAGCCAGGCAGGTGGTGGCAAGCAGGCACCCCCCGCAGGCGTGGTAGGAGAATGGGCAGGGAGGGGAGGATCAGGGCCTGTGGGGTCTGCTGGAGCAGGAGTAGCCGTGAGAGCCAGTGGAGTCTGCTCAGGGGAGGGCAGACGGGACATCCAGACAGCTCTCAGCCCAACACAGGTACTCCTTTCCCCTCCAGAGACCCCAAGCTCCTCATGCCCAGCCAGGGTCAGGGCTCCAGACCTGGCTCCCAGGAATCGGGCAAGAAAGGTTCGCGAGGTGGAGGTGTGGGGTGGGGAGAACTCCCTCCTGGCCCCCGAAGGCTTCCCTTTCCGGGACCAAAGCAGGTGTGGCTGCCCCCAGCTAGGCCCCTCCCTGCTGCCTCTCCCCACACCCAGCCTGTTATACATAGGAGGCTGCCTGGCCAGTGTCGGGCCACAGCCCGATTTCTCACAGCTAGAGCCGTCGCCGCACTGCCATCATCCCAGTCACCCACAGCAGGAGGATGGAGGCGCCTGCACAGGGAGGCTGCCGCCTCGAGGTACCGGGGCCCTGAGGTGGGCTCCCCAGCCCTGGCCGGAACAGCCAGCAGGCCATCACCCGGGTCTCCCCAGCCAAAGTGGAGGGGCTGCGCTCCTCATGGCAGCTGGAACCTACGCACACGCAGGGCGAGGGCAGTGCTTTTGTACACGCCTTTCACTGTGCAGCCCCACTGAACTGACAAAGGGCTTGCTGTGTGGGAGAGGAGTGTGTGCACACGCATGTGTGTGCACGTGTGTGCTGGGTGAAGGGGCCGTGCACCCGGCTCCTGCCGCGGCCGAGGCATCTGGGACCTGCGGTGCCTGCGCTCGCCCCAGCGTGTTGCCCCAGTGTCTGGGCCCCACCCCATCTAAGGAAGCCCTCCAGAGCCTCCCTCCTCCTGCCCTGGCAGCCCCCACTGGGGTGGGAGGGGCCTGGTCTGTTGTGTGAGTCTCAGGGAAGAGAAATGTGGTTACTGGGGTCAAAAAGAACCTTCTGGAGTCCCTTTTGCCTCACCTGAATCCCGTGGCTGCAGGTCCTGCCTTACCTGTGAGGGCTCAGTATGATCATGGGACACAGGTGCAGGTGCTGCCCTGGGCCACATGGGACCCACCACCGGCCGCCATGCCAGCAGGGCTCCTGGCCGGGCTGCCTCCCCAAACCTGAGGCCGAGGCTGATCCACCACCACCTCATAGCTGGGGCCCCATGCAGCTGCCTGGCTTGCTCCAACACATCTGAGACCAGAGCTCAGGGAAGCAGCCCACTGGGGATTATGGGGCCAGCAGGTGCTGGCCAAGGTACAGCGGATGCTTCCTGGTTCAGCCCCCTCCTCAGGTGCCAGCTCAGGTCCAACTGGGTGGCCAGAGCGGGCTGGAGCCCAGGAAACGGCACCCAGGTGCACAAAGGCCTGAAGAGTCAGACCAAGATGGGGACAGTATGGAAAGTCCACGGGAAACCCAGGCAGTGACTCAGCACGTGTACCGGGCCAGTAGACCTGACCTGGTCAGGGCCCCATGTCCCCGTTGTGGGCTCGGGCATCTGGGTCCTGGGACGCTGGAGCCTCCAGGGGAGCACTGAGAGCCAGGCAGACCTTGGGTCCACTCCCCTCTGTCCTTCAGGTCCCCATCACTGTCTGGCCCGCCAGCCTCTGCCCGAGGCCCACAAATGGAGTGTCCCTGGGGGCTTAGCTCAGTGGACAGTGCACCCAGCCCGGGCCCACGGTGACGAGCAGCACTCAGCTCTGACCCCCGACCCTCGGCCCAGATGTGGCCAGACCTGCCCGGCCCCATCAGTCCTGGTCAAGTGTGGCTGTGCTGGCTGCTGAGGGCTGGTGGAGGCCATCGTCAAGTCAGCTCCCAACATGGGGCTCCAGGCCCACCCCAAGCAGGTCACCTGTTTGCCCCTCCACAGAGGCCCTCTTCTCCTTTGTCGGACAGCAGCAGAGACCCACCCAGCCTCAAGCCTCCTGTAAATGAGGCCAGGCGCAGCCCAGATGCCATGTCCCCTGCTGTCCCTGACCCTACCGCCCAGGCTCAGCTCTGGCCGCGATAGGACGTGCCTGAGGAAGCCACCTAGTGCCCTGCCAGGTGTCACCGGGGGATGGCTTCAGGGGCAGTTGTAGCATAGACAAGCTGCTGACGGGCCTCCTTTGAGCATCCACAGGCTGGGCCGAGCCCCTGGGGCTGAGGGACACGACTGACCGGGAGTCCCAGGGACAGAGAGGGGAGGTCCGAGGGGCCGGGGTGGGGAGACCTGTTGGGGAGGGAGTCTGGCCGGGCAGCTGAAGCCCTGCTGAGGCTTGCTTCTCTGACACAGGCTGGAGCCAGGGCCCCAGAAGCTGGTGGGGGGCCTGGGACCCGGAAGCTCGAGGAGGAGTGTGGGGAGAGGCTAGTGGAGTTCCATGCCTCCTTCAGAGAGCTGGTCACCTTCTTCTGCACCAACACCACCATCCACGGCTCCATCCGCCTCATCTGCTCCAGCCAGAACCGCCTCAAGACGGTGTCCTGGGGGCTGCTGCTCGTGGGCACCCTGGGCATGCTCTACTGGCAGTTTGGGCTCCTCTTCGAGCAGTATTGGCGCTACCCAGTCATCATGACCGTGTCCTTGCACTCGGAGCGGAAGCTCTTCCCGTCGGTCACTCTGTGTGACATGAACCCACACCGGTGAGGGCTGGGGCCAGCCTGGGGCTCTCCCCACATGCGGTCGCAGTGGGAGCCCTGCTGGCTCATGAAGCCCCCATCATGGGTGACCTGCCCCGCTCCAGTGCCCCGGGGCGGAGCTAATGGGCAGGTGAAGCTTGGTGTGACCAGTGCCACCCTGCAGCGACACACAGGCACTGGCCAACCTAGGGAGGGGGAGGAGAGGTGGGGGTGCTCTCCGGGAGGGCAGCCTGGAGCTGGACTTTGATCACGGGTGCCCTGGAGAAGGGAGCAGGGCCACATTCCAGGTGAGGAGGCAGCAGGAGCAAAGACAGGGAGGGGCTGTGAACACACCAGAGGGTGGTGGGGTCACCAGGTTGGGGGCCAGGCCAGGCTGGGGGTCTGACTTCCCTCTGCAGCCCTGGCTCCCGATTCAGAGCTCCCTTCCGGGCTCCAGAGGACGGTGGGGTGGGGGTGGGGGCTGCTGTCCTGTTCGATGCCCTTCAGCGTCAGTGCCTGTGGCTACAGCAGGGCCCTTGGGGGCTGGCTCTGACTCTGCTGGCCCCCTCCCTCACTCTGCACCCAGGCCGCGCCCAGCCCGCCGCCATCTGCAGGCACTGGACGACTTTGCCCAGGAAAACATCTACTCCCTGTATGGGGTCAGCGTCAGCAAGACCCAGGACCCCCTGGCGGCCGAAGACCTGGGCCCCGAGCCCCACTTCCAGCTGGACCGCGGGGTCCGCCTACAGAAGCTAAGCCCCCTGGGCGGCCAGAACAGAGTGGGCTTCAGACTGGTGAGTGTCCTGGCCCTGGGGGGGCCCGGCATGCCATCGCCCTCTGGGGCTCTCTGTGGGGCTCGGGGGCAGGCTGCCTCCACACTGACCCACACCCCACAGTGTAACAGCTCTGGCGGTGACTGCATCCATCGGGCCTACTCCTCAGGCGTGACAGCTGCCCGCGAGTGGTACCGCTTCCACTATGTGAACATCCTGGCCCTGCTGCCCCCTGCCCATGAGGACCATCACCGCAGCCTTGGCAGCCGCTTCATCTTTTCCTGCCTTTACGACGGCCAGGACTGCCAGGCCCGGTGAGTGCAGGCTGGCGGCCAGCCGCTCCCCTCGGCCCCACCCAGTGGTCTGTGGCCGAACAGCTCCCTCCAGAAATAAGGCAGGTGGTGGTCCTTTGGGGCTGCAAGCAGCAGGGTGAGGGGTCAAGGAGGTGTGCTGGCCTGAGCGTGGCCGCTCGTTCCAGGCACTTCCAGACATCCCACCACCCCACCTACGGCAGCTGCTACACCTTCGATGGCATCTGGGCCACACAGTGCCCGGGCATCACCCATGGTGAGTGCCGGCCTGGGCCGGGTATGGGTGGGGGTGTCCAGGCCAGTATGGCCTCACCCTGAGCCTCCCCCAGGGATCAGCCTGGTCCTCAGGACTGAGCAGCAGGACCACCTCCCTCTGCTGTCCACGGAGGCCGGCATCAAGATCATGATCCACAAGCGTGACCACACCCCCTTCCTGGAGCACCGAGGCTTCAGCGTCCGGCCAGGGACAGAGACCACCATTGGCATCCGAGAGGTAGGCTGCCCCAGCCTCCAGGCTCCCGACCTCCATGCCCAGCCCTGGGGCCTTGAGGGTAGCCTGGCAGGACTGAAGTACCCCTCCCCCCAGGACGAGGTGCACTGGCTCGGGAGCCCCTACGGGCAATGTACCGACAGCACCGAAGGCGTGGACGTGCCGCTGCTGTACAACGCCTCCTACACCATGCAGGTGAGCCTGGGCTGGTCGGGGGAGGCCCGGGAGGGGGCCCAGGGAGGGGGTGGGGGGTGAGGGTCGGGGAGGCCAGGGCAAGGAGGTCAGGAATCAGGGGAAGTAGAGCTCAGGGAGGCAGGGGCTGGGGGAGGGCAGGCAGCAGGCACCCTGGGAGAGGGATGGCCACTCCAGGACTCCCAGCGCCAGTCCCCTGCTGTCCCCCCAGGCCTGCCTGGTCTCCTGCTTCCAGCAGCTGATGGTGCAGACCTGCTCCTGCGGCTACTACTTCTACCCGCTGCCTGCGGGGGCTGAGTACTGCAGCTACGTGCGGCACCCGGCCTGGGGTGAGCCCTCGCCCTGCCCCCCCACTGGCGCCCCCGCACCACCTGTGGGTGGCTCCTAACAGGTTCACCTGTGACCCTCTCCCCAGGTCACTGCTTCTACCGCCTCTACAGGGACCTGGGGACCCACCGGCTTCCCTGCGCCTCCCGCTGCCCCAGGCCTTGCAGGTGAGCAGCAGGTGTTGGGTAGGGCATGGCCCAGACACCGCACAGGGCTGTGACGAGTTCTGTCTTTCCCAGGGAGTCTTCGTTCAGGCTTTCTGCAGGGACCTCCAGGTGGCCTTCCTCCAAGTCAGCCGTGAGTCCCTGAAGGGGTGGGGTGAGGGGCGGGCCAGCAGGTACGCCTCACGGGCAGAGAGCTCTCCCTAGACGGGCCTGTGTCCCCACGGTGCTGCCCTCATCCCGCCCCGCTGTGCCTGGGGCTGGGAGGAACAGTGGCCCCAGCGAGCCTTCCGTGTGCAGGATTGGATCCTGTCCGTGCTGGGCAAGCCAGGCCACAGGAGCCCAAGCCCCAGGTGGGTGCACCCGTCCTCCAGAGTTCATGTCTGGGCCCTGCCCCCTGCCGTCCTCGGCCCTCAGTTCCCCGAGGAGGCCCAGCGTCAGTCCAGGGCCCAGCCCCTCCCTCGTCTCTGTCCTGCTCCAGGAGCAACCTTGCCAAGGTGAATATTCTCTACCAGGAGCTCAACTACCGCACAGTGGACGAGACGCCCATTTACTCGGTGAGCCAGCCAGGGCCCCAGGGTGGGGGAGGGAGCAGGGCCCCCACCCCGGGCGCCCAGCTCACGGCCCGCTGACACCCTGCCGACGCCCGCAGGTGCCGCGGCTGCTTTCAGCCATGGGCAGCCTCTGGAGCCTGTGGTTCGGCTCCTCCGTCCTCTCAGTCCTGGAGGTGCTGGAGCTCCTGCTGGATGCCACGGCCCTCACCTTCCTGCTGTGCTGCCGCCGGCTCCACGCGGCTCGGGGCCAGCCCAGGGCAGCCACGAGGGCGCCCACGCCAAGCCAGAGGCCAGCCAGTTGCCCTGTGGCTGGGGGCACATCAGACGTCCAGGGGCCTGGCTGACCTCATCTCCCACAACGTTGCCGGGGCTCTGGCAGTAGTGTCAGCTGAAGAGCTAGGCCAGGGGTGGGTCCCAGAGACACCTGACACTGGAGCCAGCCTGAGCCTGGTCTGATCCTAGGGACTGTGGCGTCAGTGGGCTCTCCTGGCTGGCCAGTATGGGCTGGTGCAGCCCCACAGGGCCCTCCCTGGCCAGTCAAGCCAAACCCAGGGCCCAGGAAGCAGCAACACTAGAGCAGGCAGGCACCCGGGCACCCAGTACATGGGGCCCCTCACTGGCCCCACTAATCTGCCCAGTGGTGGCCTCACGGAGGGCCGGGGCCAGGAGGGCAGTGTCCCCACCACTCTGGAATTCCACATCTCAGTTGTGATGGAATATCTACCCACGTGCATGAGTGTGTGCACATGTGGGGGCGGGTATACCTCCGCATGGGAGTGTGTCTGTGTTTAGTGTCAGTGTCATATGTCTATGTGTCTCTGAGTGCGTCAATACACCAGTTTACGACTATGTGTAGGTGTGTGCAGGCATCAGACAGAGCCGCCCTCAGCTCAGGGCCTTGGGAGGAAGGGCTGGGCCAGGCCCAGGCACTCAGTGGCCTTGGGCTGCTTCACAACAGAAGTCAGGACAGTTCCCCCTGGTGGCTAGAGTGTGCGCCTGCCACCCCAGCCCTTCCCTGAGTGAGCTGAAAACATTGGCTGCACCTCCACATCTTTGGAGCCACAGAGGCTGCGGGAGAGGGGGACAGGAGGATGGGGGCCAGGGCTTGCCCAGGCCCAGGCCAGCCTGGCCAGTTGGCATCCGTCCCAGGGAAGGGCAGAGGAACTGGGAATGGGAGTTGGGGTTATCAGGAGCTGGTTTTAATCAGAGGAGCCCAGGCCACTGTCAGGGCCCTGGAGGGATCATCAGGTTCTCATTTACTGCATCCTTTTGGGGGTACCACTGGTGCTGCCCCACGCAGGGCCACCCCTTGGGGACAGCGGGGGACCCAGAGACACCCCCTCTCCAGATGAGACAGAGCAGAGTGAGGCGCGTGAGCCAAGGCAGCGGGTGCAAGCGGCCATTTATTAACTGTGATCGGGAGCGGAGGCGGATCCCACCAGCCGAGGCCCAGGCAAAGGCCTTGATGCAGGCAGTAGGGTGGGAGGTGAGGGCAGAGCTCAAGCAGGGAGAGAGGAAGGAGTTAATTCTGCTCTTTAGGGGTCACAGCCAGCAGGTAAGGGAGTTGGGGGCCCAGTCAGCACCCACCTTGCTGCCCATGGAGCCTCCCTGGGCAGCCTTTGCATAGTGACCAGCCAACTGGCCTTGGCCTGGCCAAGGGCCCAGGCTGGGGAGAGGCCCAGCCACTGCCCCAGGGCTCCAGGGAAGGGGAATGCAGAAGGCATCAGAGGGCCCTGGGGGGTGAGCAAGGACCTGTGGGCCCAGCCAGGGGAGGGCAGGGCTGGCGAGGAACAGGGCCGAGCTGCAGGGGCCTCCCCCCAGCAGCAGGCAGAGCTAGGGGGTCAAGGTGGTCCTGGAGTCCACAGAGAAAAGACACAAGACAAAGTGAGAATGAGGTCCTTATAGAAAACCCACTCAGTCCGTGACAAAGAACGTTGGATGCAGGGGTGGGAAGAGCCATGCCCCTGTCACCAGCTCTGGGACAAGTGCCTCTAGAGGAGGCGGGGATGGGTGGGGCTGCCGGCCCAAGGGCCTGCGTGGCCAGCCACGTGGCCTTGGGATGCCCCCGCCCAGCCAGGGTAGAGGTCCCAGGCCAGAGGACCCCCTCCCCCAAGCACCCAAGAAGCCCAGCCTGGATGCTGGGGTCACTAAGTGAGGTACACGGGTTGATTCCCTGGATGGGATGCCCCTTCTGCCCTCAAAGGGTGCTGGTGGCCAGCCGCCAGCCCCAGGGCCTAGTGGAGGGGCTGGGGGTGTAGGAGGGACCCAGCTAGCAGGTCAGTGTTCTTGGGCAGTAAAGTAGGGGGATGAGGTGACACAGGCCCTGAGGGCAGACTGGGGCACAAAGTGGCATGAGCCCCAGGGAAAGAGGGGCACGAGGTGACACAGGCCTGGGAGGCAGGAGGGGTACAAAGTGGCATGGGGCCTTGAGAGTGGTTTGTGACATGAGCAACCGAGGCCCCCTGAGAAGGGGCACTTGAAGACACAGGGTCCCTGGGTGGGGTGAGGGGCACCAGATGATGCAGCATCTCCCGGGGGAACGTGGAACTTCAGAAGACTCAGTGCTTGGGTCCTTCCTGCCTCCCCTCCCCATCCTGGGGGTCGGGGCAGCTCCAAGGAGGGCAGAGCAGGCGCAGGGGCCCCGGGAGCACCCCAGGGTC